ATACATATATTTACTTCAAAAATCAAAAGAAAAGTTAATCGATGGAGCCTTGAGTGTAAAATTGAACGCATTTTCGCTTGATGCCCTCCATCAAAGTCTTTACAGTGTCATCCGGTACCAGTTTCTCAGTTTTTTTTTCCATTTTCTTAACATGTCCTTCTCGTCTTTGACTGTCTTCTTGCTCTTCCGAAGTTCCCGCTTCAATAATTGCCCTGTACTGCTCCACCGGGCGCAGCTACGGACAGTTTGGCGGATTCATGTCCTTTGGAACAAAATGGACAGAATTGGCCTCATACCACTCCAGGACACTTTTAGAATAGTGGCATGATGCCAAATCTGGCCAAAATAGCGGAGCTTCGTCGTGCTGCTGCAAGAACGACAAAAGGCGCTTCTCGAGGCACTCAGATTTGTAGATCTCGCCATTTACGTGCACTTTGTCACGAAAGGCTCACTCCTCAGTCCGCAAGAGCAGATGGCCTGCCAAATGAGATATTTGGAGGCGAACTTCGACATTTTCTTCTTCTTTAATTTGTCGTCCACATCGAACTTGCTCTTGCCGGTGAAAAACTCCAACCCCGGAATTTGCTTAAAATCGGCTTTTATATACGTTTCGTCGTCCATCACACAGCAGCCATATTTTGTCAGCATCTTATCGTAGAGCTTCCGTGCCCGAGTTTTAGCCGTCGATTGTTGCCGCTCATCGCGGTTTGGGAAGTTCTGTACCTTGTATGTATGTAGTCCAGCTCTCTTCTTTGCATTCTGGACGTAGCTCTGCGACATGCCGATCTTTTTAGCCAAATCACGGCTTGAGACGTTGGGATTTGCTTTAATCATCCGCTTCACCTTTCCCTCCGTCTTTTTGTTCTCCGGTCCCGGTTTTCTTCCAGCTCCTTTGCCGTGGTCCAACGTCAACCGCTGCTGGAACCGCTTCAACACTCTGGAGACGGTTGAATGGTGAATGTTCAACATTTTTCCCAACTGCCGGTGCGACAGGTCAGGAAATTCCAGGTGTTTGGAAAGAATTTGTTCTCTCAACTCGCGTTGGTTCATCTCCATTTTCGTTGAATTGAAAAACACGACTTCGAGTTTGACAGCATGTACACAATACACATCAATGAGAAAGTGTGCAAAATTTGGTTGATTTTTACCCAATGGTAAAAAAGTTATGCCCTGTTGAATGTGTCGCAATAATTTCGTGTTCGCCCTTTAATCTAGAGTCAGTGTATAATGAGTCACGCCTACAGCCGCTATATTTATAGTCTGGTGGATGGAATTTCAAAAAGCGTAACCAATTCAATATATTGTAGATCAACAGTTGAAAAGGTACTATCCACTTTTATAAACGAAACTTCAGATAGTTCTTTCCTCGCAATCCAAACGCTAATAAACAGCATCATCGGAGACGAGAAACTTTCCTCAACCCGATGATGATATTGGTTTGCATAGGCGAGCCTTGAATCACGAGAAATGGGTTTCCGATGTTTTGTTCGCAAAAGCTGATGGGCTCTTTTCTGTTTTTGGTCGTGATACGCTCAATTGGTTCCGTTATTTGACAGCTCAATTGGTTCTCAATTCTATCCGTTAGACTATAAATATAGTCACGCCAAGAGTGAGGCCAAGTCTACAAATATTGCGATGCTTTGAAAGGTCCACGAAAGGTATTGCAATAAAATATAAAATATAATCGAATAAATGATGGGATACGTTTGGTAATCATCAGTAATGAGAATTTCTACAATTTTTTGTTAAGATAATTTGACAAAATCACAGATATAATGATTTACTACAACCGCTTTTTTTCTCGCTAGAAGCCATTTGAAGTTGATGTTGAAGTCCTCTGTTGCCAAGTGAAAAGAGATAAACTCCACGATAGTGAGCTTTCACCAATTATGAACAACTATTTGAGCAATTTGTTGTCAGAGAAATATATGAGCTTTTCTCATGGGAACTCGACAACTTCACGAATTAGTTACATGGGTCTCCCCCAGGGCTCATGTTTAAGCCCCCTTCTTTATAATTTTTATGCAAAAGACATTGATGGTTGTCTTGATGAAAATTGCTCGCTAAGGCAGCTTGCAGATGTACGGCAGCTTTTGCTTCCAATCCGCAGCAAAAACACACATCCTTAAGCTGCAACGGATTCAATACCGTTGCCTTCGTATTGCGCTAGGCTGTATGCACTCGACTCATACGATGAGCCTCGAAGTACTCGCGGGTGTTCTCCCACTGACAGACCGTCTCGCTGAGCTGTCTTTCCGGTTTCTCATCCGTTGTGTAATAATGAATCCTTTGGTAATAGAACACTTTGAGAAGCTGCTCGACCGAAATCCTCAAACAAGATTAATGAGTTTGTACTATGAGTACATGACGCTGGAGGTTGGTCCTTCTTCAGTAATCTCCAATCGTGATTGATTTCAAGCCTTCTATAGTTCCTCTGTAAATTTTGATCTGACCATGATGCAAGAAATCTATGGAATACCAGATCACCATCGGTCGATGGTTGTTCCCTCAATTTTTGCAATCAAGTACCACCATGTAAGTAACGATACAAGATTTTTCACAGATGGGTCAACCATAAATGCTTCCACTGAATTTGGTGTATTTAATCAATTTCATAGCATCTCCTATAAACTGCAGGAACCATGCTCCGTATACGTTACGTCCCACAGGTGTCGAACAAACCATGGTTCAAAGGGTTGAACATGAGCCGCGACTTTATACGCGTTATATCAAGGCTTATGTACAATCACTGCTCGTTAGACTCGCACTTCTATCGAATTGGGCTCTCAGGCAGCAATTTATGTGGGTGTGGCAGTGGTTATCACGATATCGAGCATGTTGTTTGGTCATGTACCTTACACCGTGTTGCCAGATCTGAGTTATCCACATCCCTCAGGACCCAAGGAAAACAACCCGCGATACCCGTTAGTGATGTCTTGGCGAGCCGAGATCTCGACTATTTGAATTTAATGTATGTGTTTTTAAAACGGATAGATCTGAGGATTTAGTAGTTAGTGTCATTTTGTGTTCTCCCAAGCTGTTAGCTGCCCATCGGTGTACCCCCATGTTTGTCTTTTTCATCAGAGTGTCACTAAGTTCGAGATCAAGAGCACATAGCTCTTCAAACTTTGTGTTCACAATCCCTACCCTGCAATCCATTTGTTACAATTTGTTACCCCTAACCTCGAGATAGCCGCGAGTAATCGGCCCCCACTATAGTAACTTTAGTTTTAAGTGATTTTGTTATCCAAACAATGTATATCGGCTCCGCAAAGCTACAACAAATGAGCCTGGAAAAAAAAAAGATTTATTAAAGAGAAAAAAGTGAAAAGAAAGAGAATCTTTTAAAAGCCGTGATGCGAGTTCAACTGTTTTTCTCTTGGCGTGACTCATTATACACCGACTCTAGTCTAATCACAACAAGTAAGTGTGACGAACGGAATACGGAACCAAAAAAAAAGGGGAGAAACAGAAAATAGCATCTCCGCTAGACAGACAGAGAAAGTCGATTAAACGTGAAAATAACTCATCCGTTTGGGTTGAAGTTGCAAAACGCACCGCGTTCGATCAAATTGTCTGACTGCACGGAAAACAAAACATAGGTATTGAACATTTTTCAAGATTACTTAAAATCTGTGATTCTCGGTAGGAAAAGTAAAAAATCGGTAGTTTTGAACCTTTCGTCTTTAAATCGGTAGGCATCCCAAAAATCGGTAGGACTACCGATAAATCGATAGCAACCCTGAATACACCCTCGGGTTTTTTTGTTTGTTGGTTCTTCGTTCGCAAATTTTGTGAGAGTGGAATTGACCACTTTCCCGAGCAAAGCTGACGATCAAATTAAAATCAAAATTTGCTGTTATGATGTAACTTATTTCGAATACTCCAGTTGATCTCATTTTGGTTGACTTTTACACTGTTGAATCAAACGGAAAACTAATCTTGCTTTCAATGAAAGCAATTTGATTTCTGATTTTTCATTCATAAAGTTTAACTGAATACGGGCCTGGCGTATATCGTTAGCATCCACGTTTCTCATACTGAAAGACTTGAGCTCAAATCTCACCCCGGGCGAGTCACGAATGAGCTAACATATGTTAAATTAAACAAATAAACGATAATCGTTAGTTCAACGACAGATGAGCTTAAATTAAATTTTAAACAAGACATTAACAGCAGAACTTCAAGTTAAGTTGCTTTCATTTAAAAAGTCTTAACTGCATAATGAAAGCACAATATGATATCATACTTATCGTGACAATTGAAATCAAAATAAGTTTTCATTATGATAGGAACTGCAAACTTTAATATCGATTTGCTTTCATTTTGGTAACCGACTTTGCTCGGGTTGTCAAGCAGTTTTGGCGTGACTTTCTACCAGCGATTTCACAAAACTGGACCAACTAATTTCTATTTTTTTATGAAACGCACAAATGTTGGCTATTTTTCTTGAGGTTCTAGAAGAAAATTTTTCAAAATAATGTTTTATTTCAAAGTTTGAGTGGTAGTAAACGTCATTTAACTGCTCGAATGAAGTGGTTAATTACGCCCGGAGATTTTTTTTGGTCTTCTTTTTGTTCGTTGTTTACACGTGAAATATCAATCGGATGCATTTCAAATGAATCGGGCGTGATAAGATACTACATAATCAGTACGTTTGACATATTAAAACAATATAATTCGTAGTTCTGGTGCAAGGCGTAACAACCAGATGCATCATAGAGTTGAAAGTTGGGAATACGCCATGTAAGAAGAAACGTTTTTGATGATTTGAAGTGATATTTTCTTCTACTTTTTCGTGTTTATCGAGTAGTTTGTGAACTGTTCTCTCTCTATATGTGGCAAAATATGGTTTGTTTATATTTTTGAGTTACGCTCTTTTCAAATGTTAGTCTAGATTTATGCATTTACTACGACTTACGTATTCCATACAATGTCAATTTTCAACCGGGTCTTATTTATAAAATAATAACATTACCGCCATCCATCCACCTGTCCAGAACTGCCGTCCGCCTTGGAGAGTGGGACACCTTGACGAATCCGGATTGCGAAAACGAAGAGTGCTACGAACGCGTTCAGGACATTCGCGTGGAGCAGTCGATTCATCACGAAAAATATGCTAGCTCGCGTACCGAAGTGCACAACGATATTGCCCTGCTGCGGTTGGCTTCCGAGGCCATATTGACCGATACTGTTACACCGATTTGCCTCCCATTGGGCAGGAACTTTGCAAATCGCCCAGTGGATGGCAAACGACTGTTCGTTGCCGGTTGGGGTCAGACAGAAACAGGTAAGATCGATTATGGTTGACGGGCTTTTCCGAAGATCTTATCAAACACATCTTTTACAGAAACTGGAAGTCGCTTCAAACAACACGTGGCAATTCCAAAAGTGACGACATTGCAATGCCAGAGTCAGTATCCGTCAGCAAATATTGACGACCGGCAGATTTGTGCCGGGGGTGAAGCCGGTAAAGATTCCTGCAGAGGTGACTCTGGGGGACCGCTGATGGATATCGTTGCACCAACCATACAGCAACCGCAACCGGCCTTCTACGTAATGGGCGTGGTCAGCTTTGGTAGACAGTGTGGGCTGGCGGGAGTCCCCGGAGTCTACACCAACGTAAACCGTTTTGAGGACTGGATTTTGAACCACATTGAACCATAATTTTCGAGACTCAAATTTTTAACGAAAAGAACTGACAAATACTCGAGCTTCTTGAACATCCGCAGTGATATCTCACTAGTAAATACAAAATAATAAAAATACTGAACCACCAGCCGTCTACTCATCTATATTTTCCAGAATCCAATCCATGAACTCGCTAATTCTAGTATACACTCCAGGTACGTTCTCCGTTCCACATTTCTCCGTCCCGAAGCTCACGATGCCCTTCAGGAACCAAGCCGATTGTCCACCTAATTGTTCCAGCTTCATCAGTGGTCCACCCGAGTCCCCTCGACAGGAGTCCTTTCCTTTCTCGCCTCCGGCGCACAGTTGAGTATCAATGATGTCCACGCTAACCGAAGAGAATGCTTCCTTGCACTGATCGTTGCTCCACCCCGGAATATCTAGGTACATCTTGTATTGACTAGCGCTCTTGGTCTCCGTTTGACCCCATCCGGCTACAATCATCCTGGCCGGAGCCGTAGCCGCTTTCTGCTGATCCTGGGTGGTTGGTAGACAGATTGGCTGGATAAACGGAGTGAAGGTAACCGGGACAGCCAGACGAATCAGCGCGATGTCGTTGTAGTCAGCACCGTTCTCCTGGAAGTAGTCCTCGTGGATGTAGAACGATGCAATTAGATAGTCTTTCTGCGTATCGGCACAATCCTTCTCATCATAGAAGCTGCAATCCGTGTCGGTAACGGTGTCGTACTCACCCAAACGGATCTTGTAGCTGAAATGGGACAAGAAATCGATTAGACCTTGTGCGTTTCGGTCGGAAAAGCACGATGGCGTCTTACAGGGTCCAGGACGATGGAACGCTTTGAATACAGTGCGCAGCGGAGAGAACGTAACGCTCGTTGATCAGTACTCCTCCACAGTGGAATCCAAAGCGTCTGTTGGCTGTAATGGTGGCGTGTCTATTATTAGTTATTTGGTTGTTGCTACATTCCAACTGGATTAGATCTTAGATTTAGTAGTGTTTTATCAATAGTATTTCTGAGTGGCCCTTGTCCGAAGGGCCGTAGTCTGAACGCCTCTAGTCCAAACAACATCAGACTAGTTCTTGTATCACATTTCCATGTGTTTTATAAAAAAATCACTTAGCGCTTCGATCAGTTAAATGGATGTTTCGGATCACCCGGAGGGTCGTTTCCGTGGCCATCAGGATCCAAGTTTATGTCACAATCCCAAATGCATTCTTATATCACAGTTCAATGCGTTTTAGAACAAAAAAACGCTTTAATGGATGATCCAGATCGGTTCCGAGGCCATTGGGGACCATGTTTATGCAGCAACCTCAAATTTATTCGTATATTACAGTTCAAAGTATTTCCGAAAAAAATCACGGAGCTATCAAATTCATGGATTGGCTACTTCAACGGATGTTCTCGATCTTTCTGAGGTTCGATACCATGGCTATCTGGGTCTTCGTTTGTGTGAAGACTCCACATGTATTCTTACATCATAGTTTGAAGTGTTTTAGAACAGAACTGCGGAGATCTAGGATCAGTTTCATGAATTGAACACTTTTACGGATGTTCCGGAAGTTCCTGGACACCGTTTCCGTGACCAATGTTTATGTCACAACCCTAAATTCATGCTTATATCACTTTGTTTTTGAAAAATCGTGGAGCTCTAGGATCAGTTTCGTGGATTTACCACTTTTACGGAGGTTCTGGATCTTCCAGAGGTTCGTTTCCGTGGCCATCGAAGTGCATGTTTATGACACAACCCCAAATGTATTATCAAGCCGTTCGCAGTGCTGATTCGACAGTTCTAAAATTTTAAACTGTCAAAAATGAAATTGCAACACGCAGTTTTAAACGATGTTTGGTATTCATCCTTCCATATGTGTGCGTGTGCAAATTTTATTTGCTTCGGTGATTCGTAATCCAGTATCAGGTAACGCGTTCGAACCACGAGAACAGGTCCCGGACGATTCTGCTGTCGAAACATGTAAAGAAAGGATGATTATTTATGAAGATCGCTGATCACCTGATTGTCTTTGAAAAAATATCTGAGCACTCTGCTGTGTGTGCTGTTTGACTGTATATTCAGGAGCATCCTCTAATTGATTATACCAGAGGAACTCAGACCAGCAGTTCACTTATAGATCTAAATACGAAAGTTAGGTTCTGTAGTGGGCTCAAGAGAAAAAGGCAGTTAATCAGACCCCATTAGTACCTTTGATACCTGCAATTCACATAAAACAACTACAGAAGTCTATTCATCATCCTCTATAGTTGATCTCCAAGAATGTTCCCCACCGGTTTTAACTCTTTCCGGTCGCTGATAGACCGTTGCTTTTCAAATCACGAATGGCAAGGTTTCTTTGAGGGTATTATAAAACCCTAAAAGACAGGACTTTTATCATCCTATGAACACAAAACACCAAAATTTCGCATACCCGCCACTTCCCGCGTCATCCTCAATCCGATTTATCCTTGCGATTTCAAACCAAAACATTGAAGGTGTCAGAAATTCCAGGTTGCCGGGATGGGTATTTTACAAACAATCGCAGCTTGCTGTATGACCGGCACAATTGGCACACCTGTGGCATACTTGTGACCAGTGTTGGAAAAGTTCGCGATATTTAACGAAGTTCTCCATGGGAAAAGTTCACGAGTCATAGTGAGTTATCGCGAACTTTTCCATCACTGCTTGTGGCACATTGACAAAAAAGAAGAGCCAAGATTGGTGTGCGGAGTGACCTACCCCTTGGTACATATATCCTGACTTTTGGATATTTTCTGAGTCATCTGGTATCATGAGCAAGGAATCAAAAATAACTCCAAATGACAAAATGACAAGCGATCAACAAGCCAAACGATAAAGCTGGGTTTAAACTAGGAAAGTCATTTGATCAACTCAATTGAATTCAATTGGCTTGAAAAGTTGAACCTTGGTCAACTTTCTTCAATTCAAGTGAGTTGATCAAGTCAGTTGAATGGCATGGTTCACACGTTCAATTTGCGTTCAAGTCAGTTGAATTCAACTGACTTGATCAATTGACTTGCCTTGTCTAAACCTGTGGCATACCGGCGCATTTAGCACAGCGTCAAGCTGTCAAGTGACGGTGCGATGTTTTGTTAACGCCCAACTGGCAGCACTGCTGGCAGCATAAAAAGATAAACAAAATATACGGAAGAGTTCAGTTGACTCGTGAGCTTAAAGCAAACTAGTCTATTTTCATTATACGGTCCAGTAGTTTCTCCTCTATTCCCAGTGAAGTTAATACTTGCCTACGAACATAAAAGTGGCGACGGGTAGGAAACGATTCCTTTCACCTTTTATTTTCGCGTTCGATTTGGGGAAAAGTGAAACCGCAGTGTTATTCGTGCAGAAAAAAGTACGCCAGCAGCATCGAGTGTGTACAACAGCGGCGGGTGCATACGGAGGCATAGTGGTCATCAAGCGGAGAGATATTTTCTTTCCCAGGAGGGACTAGTTTAGCCGAGGTTCGGCAGGTAAATTAAAACTGGATAGTGACCGCTAAATCCATCCGGAGTGACCATATCACGAGACTTGACGGAACGGAGGGTGAGTTTCCCATACGGGGCCAGTGATAAAACACTTCCCCAAGGCGGAAGAGGATTCTCAGCGTAGTCAAAGAACTGCATAGCCTGTGACTCTACTCCGGTGCCAGGATATCCGGCGCGTGTTTGAAAAGGTCGGCTGAAGGTCGGCAAAGACATTTTGTTTTCGGTCGTCATTTTCCTTTTAGCCATTTTATTGGGGAACGAATAGTGTACTTTTATCCTTACATATAAAAAAAAAAGAAAAAGAAAAATGAGTTCTTCTAACGTAGCCTTTACGATTGAACCATATCGTCGTGGAACCTCCTGCAACGATTGGTTTACTCGTTTGAAATATTTCTTCCGGGTAAACAAAGTGAAGGATGAAGACAGGATGGCCTATTTCGTTACGTTGAGCGGGCCAGTCATGTTCGAAGAAATCAAGCTTCTTTATCCGGCGGGAAATTTTGAACAGGCGGCTTTTGACGATTTGGTTGCCAAACTCAAAAGTCGTCTAGATAAAATAGATCCTGATTTAGTACAAAGGTATAAATTTAGCACCAGGGTTCAAAATCCAGACGAGACCACGGAAGATTTCGTTTTGTCCCTTAAATTGCAGGCCGAATTTTGCGGCTTTGAAAATTTTAAAAATGTCGCCATACTGGATCGCATTATAGCAGGGATAAAGGACAAAAGCCTTAGACAAAGGCTGTTAAGCGAGGAAAAATTATCCTTAGCAAATGCTGAAAAGTTAATAGCCACGTGGGAGGTGGCTAAGGCAAATGCCGGAACGGCGGATGGTCTTAAAAATGAGGGTTTGGTAGGAGCCATTGGCAAGGGATACGCGCAAAGGAAATGGGAAAGGACATACGAGTTAGCGCACCAGGAGGCAGGCAACAGCAGGGGGCCGGTAAGAAGCCGTTTGGGTTACACGCCTTACCATACGACGCCGCAAAGGAACGGAGGGAGAAATCCTACAACGAGTTCCGGTGAATTCAGATATGGGCAAAGGTTCAAGCAGGGGCATCGGCCGGATTATTCAGAGACGATATGCCATTTTTGTGGTATGAAAGGTCACATCAAGAAAAAGTATTTCAAACTGAAAAACCTTCACAGAGATGCGGTGAATCTGGTCGATTCATATAGGCCGCGACCTTCAGCGGATAGGCACATCACAGAGCTGCTCGAACGGATGCGCACGGACGCGTCGGAGGAAGAGGATAGCGATTCAGGTACAAATTGGAAGCGTAGGCGCGATGGCGCATCGTTCACAAATCAGGCCTTACCGAGAGGTCGTCTGGGAGTACCCGAATATTATTGTCACAGTGAAAACGCCTAGGACAGTTACGAACTGCGAGCCAGACAGTACCACGAGGGTGGATGTTAGTGACAGTGGAGCAGACGACATCGGTAGTGAGGAGTTGAAGGCCCCGAGTGGGGGAAGAAAAAGGAAACATCAGGAAGTGACAGTGACAGAGGAACCCAGAAGGTCGAAGAGAAATAAGAAGAAGAAGAAACTTGAAGACTTCTGTTATGATTATTAATATGAGTATTTTGAATTGATTGTGGTTGACGAAGGTCAAATTTTGAATTGATAGCCTGTTTAAAAGGGGAAGAATTGTGGCATACCGGCGCATTTAGCACAGCGTCAAGCTGTCAAGTGGCGGTGCGATGTTTTGTTAACGCCCAACTGGCAGCACTGCTGGCAGCATAAAAAGATAAACAAAATATACGGAAGAGTTCAGTTGACTCGTGAGCTTAAAGCAAACTAGTCTATTTTCATTATACGGTCCGGTAGTTTCTCCTCTATTCCCAGTGAAGTTAATACTTGCCTACGAACATAAAAAAACCCAGCTTAACGCTTTGTCAGAAATGGAAAGCAATGATGATATAATCTTTTTCCTTTTTTTCATGACAAATAGCATCGGTAACACAGAGCTCGCTCAAGCCGGTAGAAAGAAACGACCAAATTGTTGGCAAGCTGCTTTACGAAGTAAATCCGAAGATGGTATATTGTGTTCGATAAAATAGCAACGCATGCTGATTTTCATACAAAATGGTCAAGTTTAGTTATTTTTCTTCTTCTTCTTCTTCGCATTTAAAGCTTATTGCTTATGGCATATTAGCTTATTGCGTGCTCTCAACTTAGTGTTCTAGATGCACTTCCACAGTTATTAATTGAGAGCTTTCGATGCCTGTACCATTTTTGCATTAGTATAATTGTGTGGCAAGTACAATCATATTTTTTATTTTGAACAATTTACCTGTTGTCTCACTTTTTGGCAGGTGCTTCAAAAAATTTAATATTTTGTAATCGTAAAATTGAACATATTTGTAGTTCGTTGGCGAACGTGTCAGCTCAATTGATCATAAGTTAACAAAGTTACAGCATGTCAAAGTTGGCCATTTTGTAGGAAAATCAGCATGCGCTGCTATTTTATCGAACACATGTTAAATGGAATTTTTTGTTATGTCTTTTCTCGATTCCGATCAAGCTATGTCCTCAACCATGTATATTGCAACAAAGCAGGCAAGCAATATATCATTAACCTTCTACCATTGCGATCGAGCTGTGTTGCAGATAGAATTTGTCGTGGTAGTCGTAGCAAGCGTTTTGTCTGTATCGTTGGTTGCTTTATGTGTTTGAATTCGCTGATCATGAGAGAATATCTAGGAGATGTGATTTGACTTAGTTTGATATCTTCATCAGTTTAGTAGGGTAGAGAACTACTTCGGCCTAATCGCCCATTTTGGGCCTATCGTGCAGAAAACTCAGAGTACACAAGCCAATTATGCGTTTGGTACGATACTTTAGTTAATAAGCTACCGAACGAAGTCAATAAGAACGCGTGATATGCAAGTTTGCACCCATTATTCCCAAAAACAAAAGAAGCGCTCCGGCCGAATCAATTTTTATCTTCATCCGATAGGCCGAAGTGAATTCATTGGCCTTTCAATGCGTTGGGCCGAGTTTAGAATCCATAGGTCGCGTTTGGCGTCAAGAAGCAGTGTTAGACTTTTGACAATATCTCAACGATTGGTTTCTCTTTATCAAATCTTACGGTACGTACGGAATGGTAAATAAATTTGAAAGCCATCAGTAATAATAACATTCCCTTTGGTGCTAAACTGCGCTATATTAAGAAAGTCTAATTGCGGGTTGTGCTTAATAGGCTGGAAATGGGGTAGTCAACCCTACCTGATTAAACTGATGTCTTGTAAAAGTATCCAGAGGACTTTATAGAAATCTTAAAACACATGGAACTTTTTCTGCCTGGTATCAGATGAGAGAATATCTTCTTTATGTAAAAGACACAAGCGCTCACATGAAATTCCGTGAAGAACCATGGATTTCCATGAAGTTCTTTAATACACTATGAAACTTTTAGAACTACTAGATGTTCCCCGATCTTTTATGAACCTCTTACTTCTTTGAAATTACAGAATACAATGTGCTTACACTATGAAGTTCTCCGATTTTTTTTATGAAACTATTCGTTATATAAATGAAGTTCTCCGAACTTCTATAAAATATCCTCAAACTACTCAGAAGTTTCCAAAATTTCTGTTAAATTTCCAAATTTAAATTGAATATTCTCAACTTCTATGAAGTTCTCTGAACATTTACGAGAAACCTCAAAAATACATCCAAAGAAATTTGAAATAGGGTTTCATTCGTGGTTCAAACCCGCTCAGAAATAAAACCGAATAGTCGAGCAGTTGCAAATCTGGTTGCAAAATAGTTAGTGCTCGAATAATGAAACTGCAACTCAGCATTGCGAGGGGTGCGTTTTTGTTCTAGTTTCAAATTTAAACATTCCATATAAAATACAACAGCATTGCGAACGGCCTCATAATACAGTTCAAAATTTTGTTCGAAAAATATCGTGGAACTCTAGTATCAGTTTCTTCCGGAGGACCGTTCCGTTGTCTCCAGTGTCCATATTTAAGAATCATGTTGGCAAATTATGAACATTTGTGTTCATTAGCTACAACCGAATCCCCTTTTTCTACGTTTATCCGTAGAACGAAGAAAATCTAATGGCGTTTCAATGCGTTTGGACGGAATTGAAACTCGTAGGACGAATTTAGAATCAAGAAGCAGTATAAGATTTTAAACAATATCTCAACAATTTGTGACTGTTTATCAAAACCAAACGTTTTTGACAGATGTATTGCGTTTTTTGTTAAAACCCGATCAAAAGAGAGTGTTAAAACGCGGGTTGTGCTTAGTAGGACGGAAATTAGATCAAAAACCCTTCACATTGAACCTTTCGAAAAGTCCAATCTTTCAAATGCACTAAACATGTATCCGCGTTATTTACAAAAACTCTGGAAATTAATAAAGCCTCAAATAATTCCGTACATGATGGAAATTTCTTAACTATCATGCAAAAAGTGCACGACCTCTGACCCTTAATGTTTGTTAATTTGCCAATCACCATATTTGCTTCACTTCCGGGTTATTTTCCATCAATTGCACCACTACTACAAACAACAATCGTCAATACTCACGCTTATAGTACTGGATCCTCGCCAGCCACGGATAGTCATCCAGCTGGGCAATATCTCCTCCGACGATCCTATCACCGGTGGCCTTTCCACACACCCCAACCGGGGGCAGGGAGGCCGGTGACGAAAAGCGAGCCTTCAACATCCTCGGCAACGGGCAACAAACCATCCGTCCATCCTCGTTCGTGCCGCAGTTTGACTTGACCAAATACTCTCGTTCATCGTTGGTGAAACCACCGCGCCTTAGCAGGGCAGAAATCGGATCGCAAGACTTCAACGGGACGCAAATTCCGCGCACACCAGCTCCATCCGAACAATTATCGTACACATTTGCTGTGGTGAGAAACCGAAATCACAGTGCGGTTATTGCACCTGGTAACATCCCTTTGTATGGCTAATTAAGCCTACCTGCTTGATTCGCGGCTGCCAACAACAGCAGCAACAACGATGACACCGAAAGCCTCGAGATGTTCGCCATTCCACTGAGAATCCCGATGCGGTACTACAAGTTGTGGCCGGGTGATTAGCACCCGCAGGTTCGATTTCCAGCCAAAGACCACAGTCGTCGCGTGTGTATTTGCGAACGATTAGCCTACGAAGACAATGATCGACATACGCACACCACCAATTAAATCCGAAAACAGGTTGATCGTGGTCGGTCGCGGGTAACTTCGAGCTTCGTCCAAAATCGTGCACGCTGTGCTACCTATAGTGGAGGTAGGTACGATGGGAAGTGAAGGCACGCAGCGTCGAGAAGAGAGAAATCCCCCTGAATCGGAACAAACCACTACAGCGGACGACGGCGAACGATGGGATGTTGATGAGCGATAAGGCGCAGGCTAATGCATAGCAATGATGTTCTTTATTAGTTAAACAGGGGGAATTGTAAGCAACTTGGGGATTTACGCTTTATTTCTATTGACTGTTGAATGTGATCGTACTTTAACGGCTCAATAATATGACCTATAGTGACATTTCGGAAGTGCTTGTGTGGTCGTGACCTGATTATTTCGACTCATTGAGTAAAGTATGATTCAAATCAAGTTTCTATTCTATTTACAAAAAAGGAAACTGCTGTTTAGCTGTGGATACTAATATCCAGAGTTTCAAAACGTCTAAAAAACGTCGATCTTCATCGATTTGCCTCCCATCTTTATTACAGCAATGTAAAACGAGTTATAATAATAATAAAATAATAATGTATATTTTGTTGCACATCTAGCAAATTTCCATCGGAAGAGGTTTTGTTTTACTATTATTTACTGGTTTGAACTGATTTATAGCCATTGGCGTGCGCAGCCCTCTTCATTTGGGGGTCCCGCCTACCAAAAAGGGGGTGATGATGATGATGGTCCCACCTCTTACCCCTACAAAGGTTTGAGCTGGACGATTTATCTTTAAGATAATTGAATATGACATTTTAACCAGGTTGGTAAACAAAATCGAACTGGTTTCAGTTACAGATATAAATTCCCTCTAGAGCTTACAGTTGCTTCACAGTGATATAAATGTGGAAAAGCTCAGGCGTCCACCTCTTAGTTCGCCTTTTTGTCCACCTAAAATATTCATAAGTATTACAAGCAATCAAGAGTTAATGAACAATCAACAAAGCATCCTATTACACTAGCAGCCCCGCAATCTGATGCTATCATAATTTTCAGCAATGTCAGGAATGCTCACGAACCCCTAGCATTTGCCAGAAAACTTACTACTAACTCAAGGTATCTTTCAAATAAGCTTCAAAATTGCATTTTTTTTATCAAATGTTAAATTCAGTCTTCTATATCCGTTATACGCACGCGAGGCTCAAACCTTTGTAGACTACTTTTTTTTAATTGATCTACTATTAAATCAAATATTAAAAATCCATCATCACCCTCGTGGCTAACAGAAATAGTTTTTGCAGTGCTACAATAATTATTAAAAAAAAAGTCGTTATGACAGCTATCCATATAAAATAATCCGTTAGCGATAACTTCGTCAAGATACATAATTTGTCAATTCATAAAAAAAATCACTGGATAACTGTTCAAAAGACAGTTTTAACGTGTGAAATGCAGTGTCTTTTAGATTCTGTAAGTGTTGCTAAACGTTTGATATGTCTAGGCATCGAATTGAAAACATTTATTCCTTTATAATATAATGAATTTTGTGAAGCACAAGTCAAGAAATGTGGTGTTCTTATTTCAACCGCGTTTCTAGTATTATATCTATGAAAGTCACTTCCTCTTTCAATTCGATCACACAAATATCGAGGCAGCAAACCGTTAACTACTTTAAAAATGAACACCATAGTCAAATATACAATTCTTTGCTTCACCGACAACCATTGTAAGGCGTCTAACATCAAAGTTGAGGAAGTGAATCAAAATCAAACGCATTATTTTACTCTATAAGCGCTGTAATCTCGATATTTGTGTTGCATTGGCCAGAAATAAAATGGAAGGGCAAAAATCAAGATGAGGAGAGATGATTGATTTGTATAGCTGTATTTTACTGGCAATAGTTAAATCGTTTTTCAGTCGACATAAAATTCCTTACTTCTTGGCAATTTTCTTGATGACATTGTCAATGTGAGAGTTGAACTTAAGTGTGTCATCAATAATCACGCAAAGATATTTAATCTCCCGAACGTGATCAATAGTCTCATCATCAATTACAACAGAGACGTTCACATTTACTCGATTCCGCGAAATTACCATAAATTAAGTTTTACTTGTATTCAATTTTAACTGCTTATACTTCAACCATCTACTAAGAGAACGCAAATCTTCATTCAAGTGTAAAACGGCATCATCTAAATGCTTAGCTGCAATGAATAACACAGTATCATCTGCAAAAAGATTAATGTCGCAAAATCGTAAAACACGTCGGAAGTCATTAATATACATAATAAATAACAGGGGCCCTAATACACTTCCCTGGGGCACTCCAAGGGTATTCCCCACGGGACTGGAAATAGAATCATTAAAAACAGTCCGTTGAGTTCTGTCAGACAAATAGCTTTCAAACCATTTATATGCAGCACTCGTAATTCCAAAGCGCTTGATTGATCTTAACAATAAGGGCCTAGAAATTGTTTCAAAAGCGCGTTTAAGATCCAAAAAAAACAGCAACAATCGTATCTTTACACTCCAAGTTATTTTTCCACTTCGCTAATACCAAATTCAACGCGGTTTCACAAGAATGACCTTCCCGATATCCCGATTGTTCTGGTATCAACAAACTATTACTATTTAAATACTCCCACAGCTGGCCTTTAACAACAAGTTCTAAAATTTTCTCTAATGTGTGCAACATGTTGATGGGACGAAACTCTTCGGCTTTAATCGTTCCAGCAACTTTTTGAATAGGGACCACTAAGGATTCCTTCCAAATTTGTGGCACATGTCCAGTTTGTAATGATTCATTAATAAGGTCCAGCAAGATGTGGCCAATGACATGAAAGCAATCTTGAATAACTCTAGCATTAACATTATCTACTCCAGCCGATTTTCCTAATGAAAAACAAATAACTCTAAGTTCATCTAATGTGATTGGGTGAAAAACTTCAAATCTACAACTGCTATTAACTGGCTGTTTTATTTCGTCAGGTTCATCGACCAATTCAATAGATTGATTAATCAATGGAACGCTATCTACGAAATAATCATTAAACTTCATAGCTTTGAGGGCACCAATTATTTTGTCGAGTTAATGTTTACTTACTTACATTTTCCTTGAGGTTTCCAGATTTTCACGATTTTCTTTGAAACATTTCGAGGTTTAACGAAAACTTTTAAAATCTGTTGTTTGTTAGACACATATTTTATTAAAAATTTAGTTCATAAAGTAAATAATTAAACCCTGAGACGAAGATTTCTGCAAAACAATTCATTCACTGAATTATGTTTTGAACTCCACGTCCAAGTACAAGAGATTTTGAATGGAGCTTTGAAACTTTCAATGCACTAAAAATCAAAATAAGAAAAAAAAGATAGACGCATCAGATAGTTGATTTATTTTAAGTTCGTGATTTTGAAAGAATTTCATAAATAATCCATTCGAATATTATTATTATTATTTCGATTCATAAAAACATTACATATCCCAGAAAGTTTAAAATGTCTCTGTGTACGGAGCAATTAATACATAATAAATCTTTCCATACCTAAGCTCGCAAGGTATGGGGAAAGGTTCCTGTGAGGGGTAAGTTTGTTGCTATTGATTCCCACACCCAATTATTGATTCGATTGAGAAATGTGCGTAGATGCCTGTTTCAGAGGACTGGAGACCTGGGCAAAAAACGTGATATGGCCGATCTAAACAGGCAGATTGCTTCCAGAATGGACTCACTCCGAAATGAAAGTTTCGGGCGTGTTGTCCAGAATCTGGACGACCGCTCCAGACCATAGCCAAGGTAGCAAGGGGAAAGCAAATGCGATCGGCAAGCATGTCGCTTCATCGCATTTGCTTGGCTCGACTATCCAAAGTCCGCTCGAAGATCAGGTTGCGCAATGCGTTCAAAACCTAAATGCCTCCCCTTGTGTCGTGCCTCCGGTGGATATGATTACAGTACAACAGATTTGCTCAGCGCTGAAATGCACCAAGAACATGAAAGCTCCCGGGTTTGACGGTATATTCAACTTGATCTTGAAGAGACTCAGTATGAAAGTGCAGTCTCTTCTAACCACTATCTTCAACAGATGCTTGGAACTGCACTACTTTCCAAGCATCTGGAAAGTAGCAAAAATCATATCAATCCTCAAGCGCGGTAAGGATCCAACATTGCCTTCAAGCTACAGACCAATCAGCCTTTCAGCGCTCATTCTCAACCGTTTGCTCAAATTTGTCGAGGAAAACAACATTATCCTTCCGGAACAGTTTGGATTTAGAAAGGGGCACTCCACCAATCACCAGCTAGTACGGGTGATGAATAACATCCGAAGTAACAAAGCTTATATCCAATTCCACAGCCATGGCCTTGTTAGACGTTGAAAAGGCGTTTGACAATGTTTGGCATGACGGACTTGTGTACAAGCTTTGTAACTTCAACTTCCCATTACATCTGGTTAAAATCACCCGTAACTACCTTCAGCAAAGGTCGTTTAAGGTATCGTTGAATGGTTGTCTTTCAGACATGTTTTCCATTCCAGCAGGAGTCCGGTAAGGCAGTCTGCTGGACCCCTTGCTTTACAGCATTTACACTTCCGACATTCCTCACCTCGGAGACGGTTGCGTGTTTTTCCTGTTCGCAGATGATACCGCAATTGCCGTCAAAGGAAGGATGCCTCGCGAAATAACGAACAAACTTCAACGATGCCTTAACGCCTTTGCTGATTATGCCACCACGTGGAAAATCAAAATCAATGCCTCCAAAACACAAGCAATCATTGTTCCTCCATCGGCAATCGCCGAAACTGAAACCGGCTCCATCTTGTACTGTAAATCATAGAGGCAAAAGGGTTGAGTGGTCTGCCGAAGTAACCTATCTCGGGATGTTGTTCGATGAAAAGCTCCTCTTCCGTTCGCATGTAGAGAAAACCGTAGTCAAGTGTTCTGCCTTGGTTAGGTGTCTCAAGGGTGAAC